AGAATGAAAGCGTATACGGTCTATTTTGTATAAACTTTTGTCTACATCGTGACTTTGGTGATGAGCAAATTTCACTCTAACAAGCTTGACCCACCAACTTTGCCAGGGTAAATGGTTGTATATATTATTATTATTATTATTATTAAAAGAAGTTTAATTTATATAATTTTAGATTACATATTTCAGTAAATAATTTATTAATTGACAAATTTGGCTTAATTAACTATTAGTATCCTTTTTAAAATTATTATTTGTACTTCAATGACTAAATAGCAATTTGTTATTCAACAACTTTTGTTTGTGAAGACCGAATTTTATGCAAAATTAAATAGAAAAGAACTAATAATGTAATTGAACTATTACCTTAACATTTCTTCCAATTTTACAGCTATCAATAACAGTGGGCAAATTACCTTAACAGTCCTATTGCATAAATTTTGAATTTTAATAGTAAGTAAATTCAGATACAGATAACACATTATAGTCTTTAAAAAAAATGACAATGAAGATACATAATTTGTGATTTATCTACTTCAATTTCATTATATTTCCTTTACGAAAAGTAAAAATACAAAAAAAGAACGCACAGTACACATTCAACATAAACACAAGCACATGTAGGATGAGGGAAATCCTCGTCTTTGCTTTTACATTTCTTTATTTTGTACTGCCTTTTTTTTTCTATTAATAAATCTCTAAAATTATTTATTTCTTTATTCTTCCTTATTAACTAGTGGACCATGTGGTACCAATTCAATAACTTTTGATAATACTTTTTCATCAATACCAAAACACCATCCACCAAAATAAAAGTCATAGCCCAACTCCAATGAAGAAAAACTCATAAATGAAGCCAAAAGTTACAGACAAAACTAACAAAACTAACAAAACTAACAAAACCAACAAATCCAATTTGTATGGCCAAAAAACACACAACCCATCTTAAGATCAAACCAACAAACAAATCCCACCCTTGTGAAGAAAAACTCACATAAATGACCCAACAAGTTACAAAAAAAACTCACAAAACTAACAAAACCAATTTGCATGGCCAAAGAAACCAAAATCCATCTTGAGATCAAACCCAACAAACCAAAAAGCTAAAAGTAGTAGAGAATTGAACAAGATTACCTGAAAATCAAAGAAAGGAGCAAGCTTTGATATTATTTATGCCAGGAATAGTTTGATCGATGGGGAGGCAAAACAACGGTGTCAATTGGTGTTGCTAAGCCAAAAAAATGTCAGCAA